TTTTTTCTCTGGAAAAGCTGGGAAACCTCTTGAGCAGAGCCTGTGAGGGCAGGCAGGATGGACACTTGGCCTGTGGCCCCAGTGTTCCCCACAGGTGACATGGCAGAGGACACGGTGGCAGCACTGCGGCATCACCCTGTGCACAGCCCAGGTTTTTGGAGAGCAGGTGGCACCTGGATCATCTTGCTGTCATTTGTCACCTCCCATGGGATGCTGGCCAACAACCCCCCTCCTCCAGGACTGTCTGTTCTGCAGCCCTGAGTGTGACACCATGGCCCAGGTGCTGCTGAGCTGCCTCTGTCCCCATCCCCAGTGACCTCCCATGGTCACCAGGGCTGTGACTGGCCCAGGGCTGTGACTGCCCCAGGGATGTGACTGCCCCACTACAGCCTTCCAGAGACAGATGTCACCCCCCTGGTGACACAATTCCCCCAGAGACAGGACCCCCCCAGAAATATGGCTCTCCCAAGATGTGACCACCAGTGCCCTGGAGCCCCAATCCTGGAGCCACCACTTTCACTGTCACTATCCCCATTATTATTATTATTTCCTGCCACCCCAAAAAGCTTCTGGCACAAAACTCTCTCATCCCAACCCCTGTGGGGTGAACAGGGACCCCAAAACCCCTTCCAGGGGCTGCCAGCCATGAGGGTGGGCAGGATGTTTGCAGCTGCCCATCACCCCGAGCAGGCTGTGCTGCTGATTCAGTGAATAATTAACACAGCTCATCCCCCTCAAACCATCCGGGGGCTTTATCCATATCCCGAGACTTTGCTCAACCCACCCCGCGAGGATAAAGGGGACAAATAATCGGATTGGAGCATCTCTGAAGCCCGAGGATGAGGAGGCTGCCCCCAAAGGCGGCTCCTGGGCGCAGGAGAGGAGACAAAGGCTGGGAACAAGGGGCTCATGTGATCGCGCAGCCGGCGAGCGCCGGGGGAGGAAGCGCCGGCGGTGCCAGCGGCTCCGCTCCTGCCCGTGCCACCAGCCCCAGCTCAAACACACCCCGAGGGTTCTCCTGGAGCCTTCAGATACCGCGGGGAGCCCGCACAGAGCTGGGGGGTGATGGGGAGGATGCTCCAGGGGTCCAAGGCAAGGTGGGTGCCCCAATCCAGGCAAAGCTGCTGCCGGGGTGCCACCCTCCCTGGGGGGGGTTCCCTGCTTTCCAACTCAGAATCTGCCTGGAGAGCCTGAGGATTCCACCCCAAAGCCAGGGTGGTCACCAGAGGGGCGAGTGCTGAGCCCTGTGCTGGCCTGGGTGTCACATCCAGCTCAGTCCAGGCCCCTCTTCCCTCTGAGGGGAGGGTCCCCCTGTCCCCCAGATCGCTCCAAGCCCTGCTGCCATCTCCCCACATTCCCACACCACCCCGGTGCCCACCTTTACCTGCCTGCCCGTGGATGGCCCATGGGAAAAGCCCCACTTTGCCTTCAGGAGCCACCTGGGGATGTTGGAGCTCCCTCCCTGAGCCTGGACAAAGCTGAGCCCAGCACCAGGCAAGCTCGGCCCATGGCCAAGGCCAGGAACCCGGGGCACTGAGAGCCACAGAGCGGCTCCCAGAGGTGAGGGAGGATGGAGGGAGCACGGGCAGATCTCGGCAGGTGCATCCCGGGATGTGAGGGGGTCCTGCTGCTCCCCCAGGCCACACACCTGCCAGGACCCAGGGCTGGTGGCTCCCATCTCCCTGTCAGCCCCACGAGCGGTAACCCCAGGGTAGCCCCCATGGCCACCGGTTTCTGGGGCTGGGGCCATACATTATGGCTACAATGACACCACGGCCACCTCTCCGTGACAGTGGCCCCGTGACCCAGAGCCCCCGCGGGCAGCAGCCCCGGGGTTGGTGCAGGTCCCGGCTCCCTGCAGAGCCCCGGTATCCCGGGCCCCAGTCCGGTACCGCTGCTGTCCCCGGTGCAGCTCCAGCCCCGGTACCGATCCATCATCTGGTACCGCTACAGCCCCGGTACCGCTACAGCCTTCCAGAGGTTTTGGCCCCGGTACCGATCCAGCCCCGGTGCCGGTTCATCCCCGGTACCGGTACAGCCCCGGTGCCGATCCAGCCCCGGTGTCAGCACACCCCCGGCCCGCTACATCCCCCGGTGCCAGTGCTCCCTTCCCGGTGCCAGCACCCCGCCGGTGCCGGGGCATCCCCCGATACCGGTACGGTCCCGGTGCCCGCACATCCTCGGTGCCGATACGGTCCCGGTGCCGGTACACCCCCGCCGGTGCCGGCAAAGCTCCCGCTGTCCCCGCACCCCCTGTGCCGGTCCATCCCGGGTGCCGGCCCGTTCCCGATCCCGGTCCTCCCCCGGTCCCTCCCGGCCGTACCGGGGCTGCGGCGGGGCCGGCGCCGCCCGGGTCGCGCATCAGCGGCGGGGCGGCCGCGGGGCCATTTTCTGTGCGGAGCTGTCGCGAGAGCGGGGGGAGGAGGAGGAGGATGACGGGGGGGAGGAAGGAGCGTGCGGAAGGGCGGGCGGGGGCCTCGGGGGGGGACCCGGCCCCGCCCCGCCCCGTTCCCCCCCTTCCCCAGCGGCTTCTCCCGGGAGATTGTCCGCATCCCAGCGTCTGCGGGCAGCTCGAGCATCCCGGGGGTTGTGGAGCATCCCGGGGGCTTTGGAGCATCCAGGGGATTTTGGAGCGTCCTGAGGGTTTTGGAACATTCCGGGATTTTGGAGCATCCTGGGGGTTTTTGGAGGATCCCGGGGTTTTGGAGCATCCCGGAGTTTTGGAGGCTCCCGGGGTTTTGGAGGGTCCGGGGGGTTTTGGAGAGTCCTGGGGTTTTGGAGGATCCAGGAGATTTTGGAGGATCCAGGGGGTTTTGAAGCATACCGGGGGTTTTGGAGCATACCGGGATTTTGGAGCATCCTGGGGGTTTTTGGAGGATCCTGGGATTTTGGAGCATTCCAGAGGTTTTGGAGTATCCTGGGGGTTTTGGAGCATCCCGGGGTTTTGGAGCATCCCAGGGTTTTGGAGCATTCCAGGGATTTTTTGAAGATCCCAGGGTTTTGGAGCATTCCAGAGGTTTTGGAGTATCCTGGGATTTTGGAGCATCCTGGAGGTTTTCTTTGAGGATCCTGGGGTTTTGGGGCATCCTGGGGTTTTGGAGCATTCCAGGGTTTTTGGAGCATCCCGGAGTTTTGGAGCATCCCAGGGTTCTGGAGCATGCTGGGGTTTTTTTGAAGATCCCAGGGTTTTGGGGCATCCCGGAGGTTTTGGAGTATCCTGGGGTTTTGGAGCATCCCGGGATTTTGGAGCATCCTGGAGGTTTTCTTTGAGGATCCCGGGGTTTTGGGTCATCCTGGGATTTTGGAGCATTCCAAGGGTCTTCAAACATCCCAGAGAGGGAAAGGCAGCAGCACTTCCTGAAGGCCTTGGAACATCCCAGGGCTTTTGGAACATCCCGGGACTTTGGAGCATCCGGGGAGTCTGCCAAGTGCCCCAGGGGCTTTGGAACATTCCAGGGCTCATGGAGCATCCTGAGGCTTTCAGAGCTTTGGAGCATCTCAGATGCCTCAGAGCCTCCTGGGGCTTTGCAGTGTCCGGGGGGCTCCGGAGCATCCTGGGGTGCTCAGCCCCTGAGCCCGGTGGGAAGTGCTGGAGCCCTTGGAGCACCCCGGGCTCCTGGGGACACCCCGGGATTTTGGAGCATCCTGGAGGTTTTCTTTGAGGATCCCGGGGTTTTGGGTCATCCTGGGATTTTGGAGCATTCCAAGGGTCTTCAAACATCCCAGAGAGGGAAAGGCAGCAGCACTTCCTGAAGGCCTTGGAACATCCCAGGGCTTTTGGAACATCCCGGGACTTTGGAGCATCCGGGGAGTCTGCCAAGTGCCCCAGGGGCTTTGGAACATTCCAGGGCTCATGGAGCATCCTGAGGCTTTCAGAGCTTTGGAGCATCTCAGATGCCTCAGAGCCTCCTGGGGCTTTGCAGTGTCCGGGGGGCTCCGGAGCATCCTGGGGTGCTCAGCCCCTGAGCCCGGTGGGAAGTGCTGGAGCCCTTGGAGCACCCCGGGCTCCTGGGGACACCCTGGATTTTTGGGAGCACCCCGAGCTCCTGGGGACACCCCCAATTTTTGGGAACACCCCACATTTTTGGGGGCACACCAGACTCCTGGGAGCACTCCAGATATTTGGGAGCACCCTGAGCTCCTGGGAACACCCCAAACTCCTGGGAACACCCCGGATTTTTGGGAGCACCCCGGATTTTTGGGAGCACCCCTCCAGCTCATGTGTGCCCGAGGAGCAGCCCAGGACCCTCCAGAATCCTTGCAGCAACAGAAGCCCCTGAGAGACTCCCAAACCCCCGGGAGCCCCTGGAGCCCTCTGGAGCACCCAGAGGTGCCTGGGCTGGCCCTGCTCCCACGTCCCTGCAGGGCTGGGCAGGGACATCCCCCTGACAGCACCCACTGCCCCCATTCCCCATTCCCCAGGAAGGGCTGGAAGGGGCAGGAAGGAGTTTCCCACATCCTCAGAGTTCCCAAAGCCACTATTTTTTATTAAAATAAAACCAGACACCTCCCTCTTGCACTCTGCAGTGCAAGGACTCCTAAAAAGCTGTGATTTACAGGAAAATCACCCCGAGGACTGCAAGGGCTGAAAAACCCCAAAAAGGGGGAAGGGGGGGACCCACAATTTCCAGCGTGGGGCTGTGAGGAGTTTGCAATTCCATGGGGAACTTCCCACCCCAGTGGGGTTCTGCCCTCTGTTAATCCCTCCCCGGAGGACACAGGGTCCCCTGGACAGCGCTGGACCCCAAATTTGAGGTGGGGAGGAAGGTCTGTGTGACAGGGGAGCAGCTCCAGTGGGGGCTTGGGAGGGAGGGAGGAAGAGGAGGGCTGGTCTGTGGGATCAGGGAGGGAGGAAGAAGAAGGCTGGGATTGTGGTTTCAGGGAGGAAGAGGAGAGCTGGGCTGTGGGATCAGCGGGGCTCTGTGGAATGAGGAAGAGGAGGGCTGTGCTGTGGGATCAGGCTGGATTCTGTGGGATCAGGGAGGGAGGAAGAGGAGGGCTGTGGGCTGTCGTCACTTCCTCCGGCGCGGGCCCTGGCGGGGAGGCCGGACATGAGGCGGACATTTCAGCGCTGTTCCTCCCTCTCCCGGGTGAAACCCCCTGGGGCAGCCCCTGCTGGGGCTCAGCCCCCACCCCACACCCCAGCCCCGCCGTCCCCCTGTCCTGGGCTGGGGCGTGTCGGCACAGAGGGTCTCAGCTGCCACCCCAAGCATCCCAGAGGGGTGAGACCCCACAGGTGCCCCGAGCAGCGCCAGGAGAGGCTGTGGCAGCTCCCGGGCTTTGCTGAGGGATCCTCGGACTGTTCCTGTGCCTCGCCGGCTGTGCTGAGCCATCCAGGACACAGCGGAGCCTGGAGGTGCCTGGGCTGGAGCCCGGAGAGCTGGTTGGTGTATTCAGCATTTTCTGGAGGGTTCGTGGTGGGAGGGACGGGGCTGCCTCTGATCTGTGTCCGCCCACGTCACAGCTTTTGAAACAGCCTCAGTGGGTGAAATACAACCCTCAAACTAAAAATCTGAGTCAGCTTGCTGAGTCTGCTTATTTACCATAATTATGAACAACGATTCTATTCATACCGCATAGTAGGTTAAGTCCCAGAGTACGAAGACGCAGCCAAGAGCCCGTCCTGGCTGCAGGGTGCCCCCAGCTGAAGGGGCTGTGGGATCCAGCCCCTGGCACCGGCACAGTCAGGTGGCTCGTGAGGAAACGCTCACTCTGTGCTAGCATCGGTGGGAAAACTTCACGGTTGGGAAGTTCTTGGAAAGTTTTGAAGCTGGTGTGAAAACTTCAGGTGCCCTGGCACCTCGGGCACAGCCTCTGGAGGTGGGGTGGGAGGACGGTGAGCTCCTCCTTTCCTCCAGCTCATATCTTCTGCACATAATTCCCAGGGAAAAGCCCTTGCTTGCCGTGCAGCTGGCCCTTCCACCAGCCAGAGGCATCTGGGGAGGAGACAAAAACTCAGCTGTGGTGGTGCCAGCACGGCAGGGTGAGGAGGCGGACAGGGCAGGAGCAGGTACCTTCCACCAGGATGTCAATGACGTCCCCCACGTTGAAGCTGAGCTCGTCCACGTCCTGCCCGATGTACTGGTAGAGCGCCCGGCAGCGCGGCCCCTCCGCCTTGGGCTGCGGCTTGGGGCGCCGGGCCGGGGGCGGCCGCTGGCCCACGCTGCGCCGGCGCTGCACCCTGAGGGCAGGAGGGACGGTCTGCACCGGCAGGGCACGGGGGATGGCGAGTGCTGCTGCCCCTGCCCACCCTGCACCACCCGTGGGGTGCTCCGTGCCTGCAGGTGGGTGCTCCCAGTGCAGGGATGGGGGGAACTGGAGCAGGATGAGCTGCACCCTCCTGCCCACCCTGAGGTGTTGTGTGCCTGCAGGTGGGTGCTCCCAGTTTAGGGACTGGGGGAACTGTGTCAGGATGAGCAACCCATCCATGGGATGCTCTGTGCCTGCAGATGGATTCTCCCAGTTCAGGGACTAGGAGTACTGTGGCAGGATTAGCTGCACCCTCCTGCCCACCCTGAGGTGTTGTGTGCCTGCAGGTGGGTGCTCCCAGTTTAGGGACTGGGAAAAATGGGGCAGGATGAGCTGCCCACTCTGCTGTCCTCCACCCACTGGATTCTCCATGCCTGCAGCTGGGTGCTCCCAGTTCAGGGACTGGGAGGACTGGGGCAGGATGAGCTGCACCCTCCTGTCCACCCTTCTGTCCCCCACCCATCCATGGGATGCTCCATGCTTGCAGTACAGTTGGGTGCTCCCAGTTCAGGGATTAGGGGAACTGGAGCAGGATGAGCTGCCCACCCTGCCCATCCTACTGCCCCCACAACCATGGGATGCTCTGCGACTGCAGTTGGGCACTCCCAGTTCAGGGACTGGGGGAACTGGAGCAGGATGAGCTGCACCCTCCTGCCCACTCTGCTGCCTGTGCCTGCAGGTGAGTTCTCCCAGTTCAGGGACTGGGGGAACTGGAGCAGGATGAGCTGCCCATCGTGCTGTCCCACAACCATGGTATGCTCTGTGCCTGCAGCTGGGTGCTCTCCGTTCAGGGACTGGGAGGACTGGGATACACAAGAGCCTGAGAGATGTGTCCTGCCAGCAAAGCCAGGACACATCCCCTGTCTGTGGAGGGGACACATCTGGTCCCCTCCTCAGAGGGGAAAGCATCTCCCCGCGCTGGTGGCAGTGGGAGAGGAGGATGGGGCAGGCACAGGGACGTGGGACAGCACCTACCCAGCCACGCCCTGGTCAGGCACGTTGAGGAAGTCCATGTTGTGCTCGGATGGGGGCCGTGCCTTGGGCTGGTGGCCGGCGTTGCGGGCGGGAAGCGCCGTGGCCGGGGGGCCCCGCGTCTGCTTCTGGGGCTTCTTGTAGGTGTCCCTCTGTGCCCAGCTATCCTCGCGGGGGACCTGGGGACCCCCGTTCCTGCAGGCTCCTGGAACAGCCCATCCCGGAGGGTGCATTACAGGGGGGCCATGCACAGCACCCCCGGGTGTCCCCCACCCTGTAGCCCCTCCTCACCTCTGGGTGCTGGTGGGGCACTGCGGGAAGGTGCTGGACGCCTGCTGCCACCTCTGCCCTGTGCTGCCCCCTTCCTTGTGGGCTCTGGGGGGACACAAGCCCCCCCCGTTAGGTGACAGTCCTCAGAGCCAGCTGTAGGGGCTGTCCCCCCATTTGTACCCTGTTCCCCAAAGGTCCCGGTGCTGCTCCATCACCAGAGCAGAAATGGGTCCTTCCCAGGGGAGACACAATACACCCAGCTCACCCCAATGCTCCCAGGCCTCCAGCCACGCCCTGTGACCCCAGCGCTCCTGTGTCCCCCCTCTGCCACCCCCCCAGTGCCCTGGCACTCACTGGCATTCCTGGGGAGCCCATCCCCGATGCTGACCGTAAGGGTTTTGCCTCCAGCTTTGAGGGCGGCCACGTCGCCCTGTCCTCTGATGAAGGTGACATTGCGGGTGCCACCGCCACCCCAGCCCTCCTTCTTCACCCGAAACTGTAGTCTGGGGGCGAGAGAAGCCATGAGGCCGAGTTGACAGGACCCTGTCCTGCTTTGTCACCTCTCCTGGCCTCCATCCTTACGTGTCCTTGAAGGAGAGGGGCAGCTTGGAGTGGGTGAGCTCCTCGAAGCGTTTGCACAGGAGGCTGATCAGCTCCGTCTTGAAGATGGACTCCAAGAAATTGTCGGCGTGATTCTCGTGGAGGATGAAGAAGTCATCCTGTCTGGTGCTGAGGGAGAAACCAATGGTGTCAACCCCACCAAGGCCAGCTGGGCTGGGGGGGATTTGGGGACCCCACAGGCCTTGGGTCCACCCCAAGGAAATTTGGAGGGCAATTTGGCTGGAAAACTCCCTGGCGTCTGCAAAGCACCCATGGGGAGCCTCCTCAAGTCTGGACACCCCCGTGGATGAGGGACTGGGGAGCAGCAGGGCGTGGAGAGAGGGGAAGCCCAGTGCAGAGCCCCTGGTAAGGGACACACCTCAGCGAGACACCGCTCACCGCCTGCAGCTCCACCTTCTTCTTGAGCACCTCCTTGATCTGCCCCTTCTCAGGCCCCTTCTTCACCTTCTCCCGCCCGATCAGGTAGAAGTACTTGGGGGTGAGAATGAAATCCCGCTTGATGGGCTGGGAAGGGGCAGGAGAAAAGGGTGAGGGGGCTTTGCTGGTGGGACACAAACCCCACACACACACATCCCACCCAAGGGAAGCCACCAGGAGCTGCAGCAGGTGCCCAGCCCCAGGTGTGTCCCTGCACCTTGAACCTCCGGTCGTATTTGGTGACGGAGTCGGCGAAGTCGACGCGCTCCCGCTTGGCCAGGAACTGCCTCAGCTCTGGCCTCTCCTCCATGCCCAGGTAATCCCCCACGAAATTCCTGTTGATGCTGTTCCTGCGCCGCTCTTTGAAGTTGTAGAGGATGCTGGCAGCTGGGAGGGACCCCAAAGAGGTGCAGGTCTGACATGGCTCTGTGCTGGTGGCTCAGAGCCCCCCAAATGTCACATGGGTCATGGCAGCAAGAACTGGGGTTTGTTTTATGCCGTGGTAGGAATCCCAGCTGCTTAAGCTTGGTTGGTTTTGAAACCCATTAATTGCCTTCAAAAACCTTGTGCTGTGGGAGGGAGGGATGGACCCAGCTGTGTTCTGGGTTCTTCCCCTTGATTTTTCCTGCTTGTTTGGGAGAGTGGGAAAACCCATAATGGTTTCAGTGGCTTGTCCCATCCTTCTGCCAACACTGACTCCCAGCTACTCCCCTCCATCCCTGTGCAGGCCATGAAATGCAGAGTGAGACAGCACAAGGCTCCCAGGGCTGGAAATAGGAGCAGGAAATCCCTGCTCTCCTTTCAGAGTGGGAAAAAACTCCCAACAACTCACCGGCTGGTTCCTCCATCACCTAATCACCATTAGTGCCATGATTAGGAGCCAGGCTGCTGCTCTGACAGCTGGGCTGTCCCAGTGAAAAGCACCCTGAAAGAGCTGCTGGGGTGGCAGTGTCCCTGTCCTTGGCCAGCCTTACCCTCCTCTCTCATCTGCTCGTATTTGCGGATGGCGACGTGCCGGCGCCAGGCCTTCTGGATCACCCGGGCGAAGCTGTCAAATTTCCTCTCCCGCATCTCCTCGAGCAGGAAGAGCTGCGAGGGACAGGCAGTGCTGAGCCAGGACACCCCAAAAACCCTCTCCAGTGGCACCCAGCCACAGGCAGTGCCCCCAGGGGCCAGGTCCACCCACCGACTCGGGGTTCTTGACGAACACCTTGCTCCTGCCCATCTGGTACTGGTCTGGGTCCATGTTGACCGAGCGCAGGAGGTGCTGCACCCCTTGGCGCTCGTCCCCGCGCCACGCCGGCCACGTCTCGGGGGTGAGGATGGCGTAGCTGTGGGGACAGAACAGGCTCACAGAATCCCACAATAACCCACAATAGTTTGGGTTGGGAGGGACTTTAAAGCCCATCCCATCCCACCCCTGCCATGGCAGGGACACCTTCCACTGTCCCAGGCTGCTCCAAGCCCTGTCCAGCCTGGCCTTGGGCACTGCCAGGGATCCAGGGGCAGCCACAGCTGCTCTGGGCACCCCAAGCCAGGGCCTGCCCACCCTGCCAGGGAACAATTCCTGCCCAATATCCCATCTGTCCCTGCCCTCTGGCAGTGGGAAGCCATTCCCTGTGTCCTGCCCCTCCATGCCCTCATCCCAAGTCCCTCTGCTGCTCTCTTATGTCCCTGGAAGGGGCTGTAAGGTCTCGCCCAAGCCTTTCCTTCTCCAGAGTGAACACCCCCAAGTCTCTTCACCTGTGAAGCTGTTCCAGGGCCTCCTACACCCTCGTCCCCTCCTGAGGAGGTGCTGTGGGGTCTGCCAGCCCCGTGCCAGTGGCCACTCACCGTTGCAGGAACTTGTGGAAGAGGCGGCGGTAGGCAAAGCCTGCCCGGCGCACCCGGATGTTCTCCTTCAGCCCCAGGTACTCGACCTGGTGCTTCACCCTGTACACCAGGGAGGAACAACAGGTTAGGATGGCACCTAAATGTGCACCTAAAGAGGACAATGTGTCCCCACATGCTCTTTGTGGTCCCTGGGTTAGTGGACAGCTCAGAGGGACAAGCCCAGGGCTGCAGTTTTTAGAGGAAAGCTGGTCCTGGCCATATCTCCATGGCTGGGTCCCATTCCCTGGGCTCTGTGGGCTCCCTGTTACCTGCTCTCCTCCCAGTCCCGGGGTTTCTTGGTCTCGTTGGGTTTGATGCAGCGGATGTAGTGTGGGGTGCACTTCATGAGCGTGTTCACCAGGTCGTTGGCCTGTTTCTGGTGCAAGGATCGACCTCTGTAGCATCAAAGGGGGTGGTGGGAGCACTGCCCCTGCCACTGCCCCAGAGGCAGCTGCTGCTCTGCAGCCCTTAGGACACACCTTGATTTTGGAGCCTGCCGTGGTCGGCCGTCCCTTTTTGTCAGAATCAAGTTTTTCTGGGAAAAGCATCCGGATGAAACCGCTGCAAGGGAGGTGACAGTCCCCAGGTGAGAGCTGCCAGCACGGCCTGGCTGAGGCCAGCTGGGAAATCCTCTACTGTGGGGCTGAGTGCCTTCTCCCTGACCACCCCCAGGAGCAGGGGCAGGAGCAGAGCTGGTGGATGACCCTGCTCTGCCCAGCCCTGCAACCCTGGGATGCCCCCGGTGCCCATGGGGCCATGCAGGGCAGAGCAACCCACAAAGGCAGGGCCAGCCTTTCAGATCTGCATGTTGAGGACTCTGCCCTCTTCCCCAGCCCTTTTGGGGTGCCCCAGCTCCCCAGCACTGCCAGACTCACTATTCACTGCTCTGCATGAGCTCGATCAGGTCGGTGAAAAGCACGTCCCGGTTGCGCTCGCAGAAGCCATTCACATCATAGGACACCTGGGGACAGGAGGGGACCTCAGCTGCGGTGGGTGGGGCTGTGGGGTGCAGGCTGGGGGCTTTGGGGGGCCCTACCCACCTTGCCAGCATAGTGGTGGATGACAAAGCCTGAGCTCCAGCTGTTGAAGTGCTCGTGGGTGCCCACGGCCGCCTGCAGCTTCTGCAGCAGGGTCTGGTCGGCGCCCTCGCCCGTGGCATGCATGGTGGCACACACGTCATCCAGGACACTCATGATCCCAGGAGGGTTCTGCCACAGGGAAAGGGAAGCCATGAGTGCTGCAGGGCCCAATCCTGCATCTGGTCACAGCTGCTTCATGTTGAACCAGGTGCCCACGGGTGCTGGAAGTGTCCAAGGCCAGGCTGGACAGGGCTTGGAGCACCCTGGGACACTGGAAAATGTCCCTGCCCGCGGCAGGGAGTGGGACAAGATGATCTTTAATGTTCCTGCTAACCGAAACCAGTCTGGTATTCTCTGCTGCTTGGCAGGACCAGCTTTTGCCAACTCAACAACCCACACAGCCCTGTCCCTGGGTGCCTCTGCTCCCCCAGAAGCCTCCCCAGCAGAGGGGACCCCACTCACCAGCTTGTTCTCTATCAGGTCACACACCACCTTGTTGTTGAAGTACTGGATCTGCGTCCACTTGATCCCCTCCTGCACATATTCCTCCTGGGGAAGCACAGGGAGAGCTGGGTGGGCCCTGAGCCCCTGGGACGTGCTGCAGACCTCCTGCTCCAGCTGTGGTGCTGGGGAGGAGGGGGTGCAGGAATTGGGGTGCTGGTACAGCCCCAGAGCCCCCAGCCCAGCCACCCATACCTGCTCTGCCTTCAAGGTCAGCTCAATGAAGATCTGCTGCAGCTTCTCATTCACAAAGTTAATGCAGAATTGCTCAAAGCCGTTTTTCTGCGTGAAAGATGGAAGAGAAAATGGTGCTGGGTTGTCCTCTGCTCCTCAGCCTCATCGGGGCACCCCAACCAGCAGTGCCTGGGTGCTACTCCAGGGACCCTTCCCAGGGCCACCTGACAAGGTGCTGTCCTTGCTGTGGGAGCAGGGCAGGACATTCCCAGCCACACACACCTGGAATATCTCGAAGCCGTAGATGTCCAGCACCCCGACGCTGTACTCCTCGTACGGCTTCTGCATGGCCCGGTTGATGGACTGCGGGGACAGAGGGGACAAGCTGGCTGCAGGGCGGTGGATTGGCCATCTCCTGGAGCAGGGGGTGACCATCCCCTCTCAGGCCCACACACCTCCACCAGGAAGTCGAAGACGCGGGCGTAGAGCCCCTTGGCCAGCGCGTCGCGGGTGTAGGCCGCCTGCTCCACGTTGAGGGTGACAGTGATGGACTCGGAGCGGCCGCCCCACTTGCTGTCCATTTTCCTGCTGGTGACCTTCTCGTTGAGGCGCTCCTGGTCGACCCCCAGCAGGTAGGCAGGGAAGGCCAGGGCTGGGCAGAGCAGGGTGGTCAGGGCTGTGTTGTCCCCACCTGGCTCCGGCCATGGTCAAAACCCTCGGCCCCTTCCAGGTGTGAAGGTCAGCAGTGGGACAATGACAGGGGACATGGGTCCTTCCTCTCCCAAAGTGACACCTGGCATCTGTCCCCTGGCTAATCAAGCTCTGGCTGAGCCATTTACTCGCTGCCTCAGTTTCCCCATGCATAACCTGCGGAAGGTGCTGGTGCTTTTTCCCTCCTCTGCCGGGGGATTTGTGACACAGCCAGTCTGCCACTCATTCCCGAGGCTCCCCCCACCTGTCCCTGCAGCCACGTGGCTACTCACAGTCAGCGTTCTCCACCCGGGCGTAGTTGCCCTCCTCCCTGAAGCTGATGTTGCCCAGGTGCAGGATCCCTGCCACGATCTGCAGCACCAGCTGCTGGTCCTCGCCGCAGATGCCGATGACCTGCATGGCATTCTGGGGGTGCACGGACCCCGTGAGCCCCATCCAGCCCCAGAGCTTTTGGGGCCTCCCCTCCCTCCCAGGCACTCACCATGGTCTCGTGGAAGTCGCTGCAGTCATCTGTGCCCTCCACCTCGTAGGTGTCTGTCTGGTTCAGGTAGAAGTAATAATCCGGGTTCATGATGCCCAAATTCTGCCGCTGCTCTTGGGACGCCCCTTGGATGAGCTGGGAGGGGACAGGGGGCTGTGGTCAGCCAGCTCCTGGTCCCCCCTGCAGCCTGGTGGCTCCGGGCCACCCCCATACCTGGTAGTAGATGTGGAAATTCCGCTCGCACTCGTTCTGGCTCACCACGCGCGACTTCTCCAGCAGGAAGTTGGAGATCTTGCCCCCATCGGGTTCTCCGCCCCGGCTGAACTGGATCTCAAAGTATTTTCCCTGCTCCAGCACAGATCCTGCTCAGAGCTGTGGCCCTGCCTCAGGGCATTCCTCATTTCCCCCAACCCCTTCCCCATCACACCAGGAGCTTTGTGGGGTGTGCAAACCCTGGCTGAAGAGTTCATGGTTTATGTGGAGCCCTCATTGCCCCCTCAATGCCCAAAAGGAGGCTGGAGCCCAGTGGGGTCAGTCTCTTCTCCCAGGTAACAGGCAACAGGGCCAGAGGAAATGGCCTCACATTGCCCCAGGGGAGGTTTAGATTGGATATGAGGAAAAATTCCTCCACTGAAAGGGTGGTCAGGCACTGGAACAGGCTGTGGTGGAGTCACCATCCCTGGAGGGATTGAAAAGCTGGATGTGGCACTTGGGGACACTTGGGGCAGTGTTGGGGGAATGGCTGGACTTGATCTAAAGGTGAGCTTTGAACCCAGCTGGTTCAGTGGCCCTGCTGCAGCGCTGAGCCCTGCACTGCCCCGGGACTTACGAAGCGGCTGGAATTGTTGTTCCGGACAGTTTTGGCATTTCCAAAGGCTTCCAGCAGCGGGTTGGACTGCAGGATGATGTCCTTCACGTGCTGGGGACACAGGAGGGCAGGGCTCAGCACTGCTGTGTCCCACTCCAGGCCTGGGGACAGACCTGAGGCTTTGCATGTCCCCAGTCCTGGAGCGGCTGCTCCATGTGTCACCACCAGCCCCCATCGGGGGGATGCTGGGGCTGAGGTGGTGGGGATCAGTTGGGAGGTGAAATGATGAGTGGCAGGGGTGACAACAGACCCACCTGGACTTTCTCCCCACCCCCAGACACTTTGGAGATGTAGCCCATGATGTATTTTGCTGCCACCGTTTTCCCAGCTCCGCTTTCTCCACTGTACAAAGGGCAAAGCAGAGCAGATGTGAAACGGCCCCACCAGAGCCACCCATCCTCTGGGGGGGCTTTGGGGTGGCTCCTGGAGCAGGACCAGAGGATGACAGTGAATTCTGGGGACAGTGCCACCCCTTGGATGGGGCTGCCCAGGGGGATCAGTGTGAGCAGAGTGTGGCTTGGTGAGGAGCTGCTCCATGAGATGTTGAATTTGTTGTCACCGGGTTTAGAAGTGGAGGAGGGGGACTTGGGAGCCTCAGAGGGAAGTCTCCAGCCTTGCCCCACATCCTGACCATTTCCCTTGCAACACTGCCCCGCAGAGCTGCATTGCACAAGGCTCTGTGCCTCTGTCCCTGCCTGGGACACCCCTGGGCACAGCCTTGCCAGGGGGTCCCTCCAGACACCCCAGAGCCAACCTCAGCTCCTCAACCTTCACCTCTCAGCTGGGAAACCCCGGGCTGGGGAGAAGGGCTGGTGGGGACAGGTGTCCCCAGGGGCAGTGACAGCCCAGCTGTGCCCCAGTGTCCCCCAGTACCTGATGATGACACACTGGTTCTCCCCGTCGATCAGCATGTTCCGGTACATGTTGTCAGTCAGGGCGTAGATGTGGGGGGGATTTTCATACTGGGCCTAACCAGGGGACAGGGGACAGGGCTGAGCACAGGCAACCTCCAGCTCCCCTCCCCAAATCCCCTTCACTGCCCACAGGGGAACCAGCCTCTTCACAGTGACCCTAAACAAGGGACAAGGACAGCAGTGCTGGGCACAGAGCTCCCCAAATCCCCCTCCCTCTGCTCTTGTGGGGATCAGCCCCTTCACACTGACCCTAAATAAAGGACAAGGGACAAGGACAGCAGTGCTGGGCACAGAGCTCCCCAAATCCCCCTCCCTCTGCTCTTGTGGGGATCAGCCCCTTCACACTGACCCTAAACAAGGGACAAGGGACAAGGACAGCAGTGCTGGACACAGAGTAACACCCAGCTCCCCACATCCCCCTCACTAAGCCCATGAGGGAGCCAGCTTCTTCACACTGACCCTAAAAAAGGGACAAGGGACAAAGGACAAGGACAGCAGTGCTGGGCACAGAGCTCCCCAAATCCCACTCTGCCCATGTGGGGATCAGCCTGTTCCCTCAAACACCAGCTCATCAGCAGCGTGATGATTTCTGGTGATTTTTAACCCCCCTCCTCCTTGGGGAGCTCGCTGGGGCAGAGCCACTCTGCATTTTACCATGTTTGGGTTTCTTTCTGTGCATTTCTGAGCTGAATTCCCCAGGCTTTGCTGCTGGGTTGGGAGCACTGAGCCCTGCAGCAGCAGGGGCTGTGGAGGATGGGGACCCTCAGGGGACGCCCCTGGGGGGGTTTGCACAGATTTAACCCCAGATTGCCCGCGGGGCAGCCTCACCGCGCCCTGGTACAGCTCGATCTCGCGGTCGGTGAAATACGGCATCTGCTTGAAGGGGTTCACGGAGATCAGCACGGGCCCGATGTAGGTCTGGGCAGCAGGTCAAGGGCCGTGTGTCCCTTCCCGTGTCCCCCCTTCCCACTGCCCAGTCCCACCCCGGTGGTTATGGGGTCCCTGCCACATCCTGGGGGCTGCACCAGGAATGCCACGAGGGTGGCATTTCCAGCCTGGCACGGGCAGAGCTGCTCTGCTGCCGTGACTTGGGGCACCCCCAGCGCTCCCTCACCCCTGCAGTGTGATGGGTGCAGGAGCATTCCCTCAGCTCCCTGCTCTGGCTGGGGATCGGCTCCAAAATCTTCTCCATCATTCCTGGAATCCGCCCTCTGCTCACGCTCCATCTGCGGCTTTTCCAGCAGGAGCCCATCCTGATTTTACAACCAGGGAAACTGAGGCACGAAGAGGAGAGGAACGGCGGCTCCTGCCTTTCCCTGCCTCACCCTGCTGCCTTTCCTGCAGCATCCCCGAGTCCCTGAGTGCGGGCAGGGGCACGGAAAAGCAGGGAATTGCAGCGGGATGGGGGTGAGCCCCCAGCTGGCTGAGGAGATGGAGGGCGGGGATGGAGCAGGTGGGGTTAGCCAAGCCTTTGATATCCTATTTGTGTCCCAAATAGGGGGAGAGTGGCCAAAGGGCAGGAAGAGGGAGCTTTTCTGGGAAATGCAGAAGCTTGGGATGTTGAGTCATGACTGGACAGAGCCCTGCGTGCAGCAGCACAGAAAAAAAAAGGAAGGGAGAGGTTGTGTGGGGTATTTTTCCCCTCCAAAAACCAAAAAAAAAGCCAACTCCAAAGGCATGTAAAGCCCCAGGGCTGCGGGGGGAGCTGGCTGAGTCACAGCCGGGACAGCACCGCCTTGTAAGGACAGGGCCACATCCCCACATGCAGGGGAAGCACAGCGGCGTGGGCAGCAGTCTCAGCCCGGAGAGCCCTCCCCGTGTCCGGCTGTGCCCCTCGGGGCTCTGCTCCCTGTCCCCAGCAGCGACAGCCACCCCCGTCCCGGGGAGCAGGGCACCGAGCTGGCCGCGTCCCCAGGCAGGTGTGGGGTGGGCAGGCCTTGGGGACACGTCCCCGTCCTCCTGCAGAGCTGCGGTGCCCGGCAGTGCCAGCCCGGCTGGAGCAGCTCCGTGTCCCCTGTGCTGGCACGGTGTCCCCTGTGTCCTGGCACCGCTGGGGACCAGGGGTGGCACCTCCTCCCCGCACCTGCAGGGATGCTCCCGCTCCATCCAGGGTTTGCCTGGATTTGGGGGGTTCAGAGCAGCCAGGACACGCTGTGGGCATCGCTGGGGCTGGGTGACAGCAGCAGGGGACAATGTCACTGCTGCCACCCCGGTCAGGTGGGTGGCAGGAACACAGCACCCCGGTGTGCAGGAGCAGGGGAGGTGAGGCTGAGGGGCTTTGTGGCTACATAGGAAGGAGCAAAGTGGGTCCTGCACGTGGCAGGAGGGGGGGTTTGGTTGTTGTGTCTGTGCCAAGCACAGCTCAGCTCGGGAACGGCGACACTCCCGCAGCCTGTCCCCATCCTGTCCCCGCGGGGCACGGCACACGCTGTCCCATGTCCTGACAAAGCCTTGAAGCCCATCCCTGCCGCTCCTGTGCCTGTCCCCGCTGCCTGGGGAAGGATACAAAGATGAAATCGTCCATGAAACGCTTCTTGAGGTTCTCCACGATGGCCTCCTCGGAGATCTTGGACAGCAGCACCATGTCGTCCACGCCGCTCTGCTTGACATTGTGGCTCTGCCAGTGGAAGCGCTCCTTGCTGCCCTGAGGGGACGGGGACACAGTCGGGGCCACCTCCTGCCACCAGGGCTGGCTCTGAGCCCCCTGTGGCCCCTGCCTGGTCCCCGACTCAGCTGTCCCCCCAAACCGGGCTCCTGGCGGTGCAAAGGGAGGGGTTTGGCCAAACTGGGAACTGGCGGAGCTCAAAATTCAGTGCATGGGGCTTGTCCCAGCCCCCTGGACCCCTCCTCGCCTCCTGGCACCTGCAGAGGAGCAGACAGGACCTGCCCAGCCCCTGCTCCTCGCCAGGCTAATGAAGGACTCTTGTTGATGCACAGACTGATTACGAGCCAGAGCAAGGCAGGGGAGGGTGGTGGCATCCTCTGCACCCCCACATCCTCCTTGCACCCTGTGCCCTGCTCCCCTTCCTGCTGCCCAGGGAGATGCCAGCAGCCTCTGCCCAGCTGGCCCGGCTCTGTCCCCCGGGGGCAGCAGCAGGGCTGGGCTGTGATTTCAGCCCTTGTGGGGTAAACAAGGGAGCTGGGAGGGGGGGAATTCACCGTGCAAAAACCACCCAGAGGCCTCCCCTTGCCCTCGATGTCCCCACAAACAAGCTGGGCACAGCTGTGGTGCCCGTGTGGCCCCCGGCACGGTGCCCAGGAGGGGACACCCCATCGGGACTGGGCTGAGGCCCCTCTTTCCCCATCCCCGTGGTTCCTCTTTCACCCCCCAAGCTCCTGTCACCGATTTCACTTCTCCCCCATCAGCCCTGGCCTCTTACTCTTTCTATTTCCCTTTTCTTCTCCTCTTCCCCTTTTGCTTGATTTCCCTGCAGGCTCTCAAGATTTCAGGCTCTGCATCCCAGCACCTTTGCAGGCTCCTGGCAGCCTCTGATTGTCACCAGGGGTCCCCAGTCCCCCACAGCCACTCTGGGGTGTCTGTCACTGGGCTCTGCAACCCCAAACATCCCCTGTGCCCCCTTTCCAAACCCCAAATGTCAGCCAAGCCCACTTGGCTGCTGAAAGGGCTTTTTGGTGTTGTCCCACCACATTTTTTGGGGTCAGCTCAGGGTGTCCAGGGCTGCTCTTGCAGCCTGAAATCACCCAGGGAGTTTCTCCTTTTCCTTTTCAAGGCCTTTTTTTTGCCTTCATTCTAATATCGTCTAGGAAATCCAGCTGGAAAAACACAGGCAGGCTCAGGCAGCCTCTCCAGGTCACCGTGGTGTCACCCAGGGAGCTGCCAGGGACCCCAGGAGCTGCCCAGCTTCACCCCAAACCCTGGGCTTCAGGAGAAGAAGAGTGCCAAGAGCCCATGGGCAGCCAAACCCTCAGTGCCCTGTCCCCATCACCCCAAAGCTGCTGGCACAGGCACCCTGGGCTGCTGGCTGAGGCCAAATTAAGGCAAAAGGAGAATTTCCTGCACTGAGAGATCAAAGTTTTGAGCCGACACGCAGAGATTCTCTGTCAGCTGTCAGTGGTGAGTGTGCCTTCGCCTCCTCTTCCTCTGGGCCAGCTCAGGGGTTTTCCTGGCTCTGCTGGGGCACCTGGTGCAGCCCAGCTGGGAGGAAAACACCAGCTCAGAGCAGTAAATGAAGGGTTTGCCATGATTTACAGAGCTCTGGGTGTTCCTGCCTGCCTTCCCTGAGCCTGTCATGGGTTTGCAGGGCCAGGGCTCCCTAAAAAATCAGAGTAAAGTCAGGATGAAGGGGAATTAGGATCCCTGAAAGCCCTGGTGTTGGCCCAGCTGGGTGCCCAGAGAGCTCCCATGGCGCAGGGCTGCAGGTGACATCCCTGTGGGGAGTGACAGCACAAGTTAATTTGTTCCAGAGGTTTGGGGCAGCAGTTTCTCCATGCCCTGCTCTGCCCAGTCCCCTCTGCCCCAGGGAAGGGCACCTGCACCATGCCATTCCACCTCTGTGCCAAGCAGGGAGAAGCTTTTGTCCCCCCTCCCCCTTCCAGGTGCCCTTTGCAGCCCCTGTGCTCGAGGGACTTTGCTCCAAAGGGGACAGGTGACACATGAGGAACCTCTCAGCATCCCCAGCTGTGGGATGGGCACTGTCCCCACCCCTGTGCCCAGGGTCAGGGTGCTCCTGGCACTCAGATAGGATCTCTGGGCAGGGAGGGGAGCAGCCCTGTGGCAGCACTTTTAAAACATCATGTTTTCTTTAAAGCTGTGGGCTAAACCACAAAAAAAAAAAAGCCTGCAGGTTTGAGCGAGGAGCAGATGCAGCCCAAGGTGGCACCTTTTGAGTCAAGGCAGGCCAAGCCCAGAATCATCAACAGCTTCAAAACCACCGGAAGCTGAGAGGAGCAGAAGGTTTGTGACACCACTGTCACAGGCAGGCCCAGGCAGGGCTGGGACGAGGATGGGCCTGGCAGGGGCCAGGGGCATGGCTGCAGAGAGTTCTTCAGTCCCTCAGGAAGCCACAGAACACTTTCGGGTGGTGGAGGAGGGGACAGTGGAGGTGTCTTTGGGGACAACATCTGAGCATCCTCTCGGAGGTGACAGCCACAAGTGTGGGTGAGAGGTTTCGTTTCAGCCTGGCCACCATGTCCTTCCTGTCTAGATGGAAATAGCTGGAGACACACCACCCTGAGGGACGCAGGAAGCAGAGCTGAGAGCTGTGGCAGCTCCTTAGCCCATGTCTGAGCATCTTCCTAATTCTGAGAGCTTTCACCTTCCTCTTCTGCCTCCACATCAGCTTCCAGAAGTGGCTGCTGCCTTCCCTGAGCCCCTGCCCCCCGACCACGGGGACCAGCACCCAGAGGGTCCCTCCTGGCCTGGGGAATGTGGCTGCCACCCCCATGCCACCCTCTGCCCCACCAGTGACACAAATTTGTCCTGTGGGTACCACAGCAGCGACAGCAAACCCCAAACCTCTGTGTGGCAGCACAGACCCATCCCCTGCTGCTCCCCACCCTGTCCTGGGGGTCACCAGCCCCCTGCACCCACCTCAGTGCCCCCCCAGCCCTGTCCCCAGGCTGGGGAGCACTGTCCCCTCCCCAGCAGGGACACGGGGCAGCTCCCAGAGCAGCCAGGCTGGGTGTGGGCAGGGCAGGGCTGAGGTGCCCTGAGGTGGCAGCAGCAGGAGGTGACACCTGGGGGGCCCGAGGGGAGCAGGGGGGGCCCTGCTGGCACTCACCATGATGTCCCTGTGTCCCTCCCCAGGCAGGTGCTCGGGCTCCTGTCACCGACGGCCCGGGGCCATCCCGGAGCACTCGGATTTTTTCTTTCTGCTGTAACAAGATTGTGACGAGTTCTCTTTCCCTCCCACTTCCTCATTTTGCACCCTTCGTGGGGGTGGGGAGGACAACGGCAGCTTTGCTACCCAGGACCTGGGGGTGGCCCTGCCCGGGGTGTCCCCACCTCTGCTGATGCTGCTGGGTGAGGGAGAGGATGCAGGACAGAGCCCAGCAGGGATGCTCAGAGGCTCGGTGACCTTTCCCCTCACCCTGAGGTGACAGCTGGATGTCACCTGTCCAATGGTTGTCAGTCAGTGCTTGGAGGTGGTTTTGGAACGAGATGCTTTTGGTTGCTTATTTCTTGTTGGTTTTTTTTTTTTTTTTTTTCCACCTCCACTTGAGGTGCAGAGAAAAGTGAGGTTACTGCAGGAAGATGAAACCTGAGAGAGTTCTTGGCCACCCTGTCCCCTGCAGAGTCACAGGATGGATTGGGTTAAAAGGGACCTCAAAGCCCATCCAGTGCCACCCTGCCATCAATTCCTGCCCAATCTCCCACAAAAATCTCCCCTTTTCCAGTGGGAAGCCATTCCCTGGCTCCTGTCCCTGCAGGCCTTGTCCCCAGTCCCTCTGCAGCTCTCCTGGAGCCCCTTCAGGCCCTGCCAGGGGCTCTGAGCTCTGCCTGGAGCCTTCTCTTGTCCAGGGGAGCAGCCCCAGCTCTGCCAGCCTGGCTCAGAGCAGAGGGGCTCCAGCCCTGGCAGCATCTCCGTGGCCTCCTCTGGCCTGGCTGCAGCGGCTCCACGTCCTCCTGCTGCTGTTCCCAGGGCTGGGGCAGCTCTGCAGGTGGGGTGTCACCTGAGTGGGGCAGAATCTCCCTTCCCCTGCTGGCCCAGCCCAGCACCACCAACATGGAGGACTCTCTGTGCCATGGGGGGAATTCTTCCTTCACATCCTAAAGCAGCTCTGGGTCAATCCCCACCTCTCCCACCTGCTCTGCTCCCCAGGGAAATCCTTGTCCCGCTTCCTTTGGGGTGGATTGTGATGCTGGGGTGCCCAAACCCAACCCCAGGCTGGAGGAACACAAGTGGGAGCAGAGGCTGTGCCCGGGATCGTATTCCCCTGCTGTCCCAGCCCAGCACTACCAACACTGGTGGGGGGTCTCTGTGCCACAGGGGAATTCTTCCTTCACATCCTAAAGCAGCTCTGGGTCAATCCCCACCTCTCCCACCTGCTCTGCTCCCCAGGGAAATCCTTGTCCCGCTTCCTTTGGGGTGGATTGTGATGCTGGGGTGCCCAAACCCAACCCCAGGCTGGAGGAACACAAGTGGGAGCAGAGGCTGTGCCCGGGATCGTAGCTACTCCTTTATTATAATTCATGCCTTACGTCGCTCCTCCTCAGAGTTAGTATGTTAAACATCGGTCAGTAGGATATATATCGATATAAAAACGGTGAAAACACCCCCTCCCCTCACCCAAAACCATCAGAACGGAGCATGGCACCAGGAAGGAAGAGAAACGAGGTTTGCTGAGCACCAGAGAAGCTGCGATCGGCCGAGGAGCAGGTGGACACAAAAACGGAGCTGGGAGAGGAACACACGGGGGCTTTGCTCAGGGGCAAGGGGGCTGTCCCCTCCCTGACCACAGGGATGGCCCCAAGGGAACAAAACACGGCTTTGGACAAAGGTTTCCCATCGCTGTGATGTGGAAAGGCCTGAAAATAATCATCATAATTACAAGTACGATGCCAACAAAAAGCACATGCTTTGGAGAGTTGAAGTCAGGTCTCCTCCACAGGCTGCCCGTGGAGGAGCTGGCCCAGGTCTGGCCACCAGGTGACCTGGAGGAATTTCAAGCTTGCTCTTTTCCCATCTCTGGAGGCCTCCTGTGGGCAGAGGGGTGGGTGGCACTGGGACTGGCACCTCGAGGCCACGGCCACACGTGGCCAGGCTGCCTTTGGAGGCAAAGCACCTTTTGGAGGCAAAGCACCTTCGGAAGTCAAGCACCTTTGGAAGTGAGGCTGAGGCTGTCTCTGGGCAGGGCCCTGCCGTGCCAGGCCCTGGGGACACTGTGCCAGGCCCAATCTTGTCCTGCACTCTCCTGTGCTGCTCTCCCTGAGCCTGGCACAGCCTCGATGCCCACGAAGTGACTGCAGCCCCCAGCACGCCTCTGCCCCCAGCTCAGCTCGTGCTTCAAGGGGGAAAAACTGGTCCTAAAAGTGACAAAGGCAAACAGGGGAACAACCCAATCCAAGCTGGTGGCTACGGGAGTTTGGAGAAGCCCCTCTCCCAGCTGAACTGAGGGTGTCACCCTCTGCTCATGGGGTGGCCTGATCCCAGTCCCGAGGTGACAGGGTGCAAACCAAGGGACAAAATCCCTGCTCCAGCCCCACTCCCCACAGCGGCTCCTCTTCACCCATCACCCAGGAGCCCCAAGCCACGCTGGCCACCCCAGACACCTGAACCCTCCTTCCTGGCTCCCCTGGGGTCCCGAGGGAAGGCCAGCAGCCCCTGGAGTGCCCAAGCCCCACGATGGTGCCCTGGGGACACGGAGCAGGATGAGGCAGGAGCGGGGCGAGCGGCGCCGCTTCCCCCAGCGGGACCTGGCTCCGCTACTAATAAATAACAACATCAGCATTTCAAGTAAAGTCCCTGCTCTGCCCAGCTCCCCCCTCTCCCAGCGCTCATCCAGCTGGGGCTGCAGTGGTTGAACTGGGAACCTGCCTCTGAAAAGCTGGGGGGCCAAGGGGGTCTGTGGGGGACGGCTTTGGGGGACGCCCGTGGAGTCTGTGCGGGAGCCAGGGGAGGTTCCCGGGCAGGGCAGGGCTCGGCAGCCCTCCAGTGAAGCTTTGGCCTTCCAGTTTTGCCACGGGGGTCCCGCTGTGTCCCGCTGTGTCCTAGTGGCCCTGGCAGGTTTTACAGCACATCTGTCGGAAGTAGGTCCGGCTGCAGAACTTGAACTTGAGGACCAGCGGGCAGTATGCCACCTTGTTCACATCCTTGCACTCTGCAGGGGACACAGAGCGGGGAGCAGGGTCACAGCAGGGCTGAGGGGATCCTGGGGGGTTTTCTCAGGGAGCTGGAAGATGCAGCTGTGATGAAGAAGCTGCTGAGGACCTCACTAATGGAAACCTGTCTTTGCCAGGGTGCAGCTCCTGCATTTCTCAAGGTGGAGTTCCTTCATTTTTTGGGGTCATGGTACACCAGGCTGACCTGGGACCAGAGGGGACCAGAGCCATAGAATGGCCACATTTTTCACAGAATGATTTGGGTTGGAAGGGACTTTAAAGCCCATCCAGTGCCACCCTGCCATGGGTAGGGACACCTCCCACTAACCCAGGGTGCTCTAAACCCCATCCAACCTGGCCTTGGACACTTCCAGGCATGGGGTCTCCCACCCTAGAGCCCAACTCTAGCTCCCATGTCCCTGTCCCCAGTGGGACACATGTCCCCTCCACACAGACCCCTCCTGCACTCCTGGCACTACACCCCATGGACCAAGTGCTCTGTGCTGTGTGCAGGGGGTGAGCTCTGATGCTGGGCTGCTTTGGGGGGACATGTGGGACCCCCTCTGTGCTGTGTCTGGGCCTCTGCTTGGCTCTGAGGAGCTCTGGGATCTCTACACAGCCCCACCCCACACTCAGCCAGGTGAGAGTTGTGTCAGGCAGTGCCAGGGCAAAGAACCTGGGTGCCATCTTCAGCTGGGCCACAGGTATGGATGGAAGGACCTTAAAGATCAAATTTTCCCACCCCTGTCATGGTCAGGGACACCTCCCACTATACCAGGGTGCTCCAAACCCCACTGTCCAACCTGGACACTTCCAGGGATGGCATCATCCCTAGAGCCTGGCTGGTGCTGTGCTGGCTCCAGTGTCCCCATCCCCAGTGGGACACGTGTCCCCTGTGCAGAGCCCCTCACCTTCAGGGTTGTCTGTGGGCCCTGACTCGCACTTGGTCTCGCACTGCTGCATCCCGGGGGGCTGCAGGGCCTCCACACACTCCATGGACGGCTGCCCCGTGTGGGCCAGGCACTGGACGGATCTCCTCTGCTGGCCGAGGCCACACTGGGCAGAGCACTGTGGGGACACACACAGGGAGCTGCCGTGGCCACCACGGCTCTGGGAAGGTGGCAGGAGTGGGCACAATGGGGGTTTGGGGTTGCAAAGGGTGCTGCAGGGGGTTCGGGGGTCCAAAGGGTGCTGCAGGGGGTTGTGCCTTCCCTCCCTGGCATGAGCGAGTGCTGTGGCCCTGCATCCCAAAAAAGCTTGGTTTGATTCTCCAGGGCTCAGGGAGGATCCCACACCCAGCCCTAAATCACTGGCCTTTCCCAGGCCTCCTGCACCCCCATGTCAGCCTGCAGCTCGAGGGGTGTCCAGGGCAGGGAGTGTGGCCGCAGCTCTCTTTAGAGAGTGCAGCAGGCACAATTTCCCAAGGATTTGTCCTGGGAAACACAGTGAGAAACCTCAGAGAAGAGAAAACAATTCTTATCTCTACTTGCTGCTCCTGTTTGTGAAGGGTGAGACAATACAGATGTTATAATTTATACTATTATAATTAGAAGTTAACTATTTCTTAATTATAATATACTAGAAGCATTCCTTGGCTTATGAGTTTTTGCTACACCATGTTGTAAATGTTTTAAAGCTATTCTTATCTAAATTAAAAAATATTATTAATAACATAATATAACATATAATATTATTATACTAATATTATTGTCTAAAATTATCTAAAGCTATTGTTATCTAAAATTACTCTTGGTGGGCCTATCTTTTGCACATGTGGAATGTGTTATGGAGATTGTTTACCAAAAGTGATTTGCTTAATTGGGCACTGGTGAAAGTTGTTTTGAGTGATTAGCCAATCCCTCAAAGCTGTGTCAGCCATGGGTTTTTCTTTAGGATTCTTTAGTACAGTATCCCTTTAGTATAGTTTTAATAGTATTAATGTAATATAGTATAGTTTTAATAAAACAGTTGTTCAGCCTTCTGAATCATAGAGTCAGATGCCAATCACTCCCTGTGCCAGGGGCTCCCTGAATTCATACAGGGAGGACGGTCAGCGTCACCCCACGG